GTTCATATTACAATGTCTATTCTTTTGTTTTCAAATTAATAAGTTAATTATTATATTTAAGTAAAGACAATATTACAAATATTATTTACATTTAGAATCGAAAAGTCAGCTTGAAATGAGAACAATTCCAACACATGTCGTGTATTGAAATTATTCTCCTTTCACACTCATAGCATTTATGGTCGCTGTCAATGGTTCTTTGACAATCTTACTAATCTAGCAATCTTACTACTAAGACAATGACTGATCCGCAATAGGAACACTAAGTTTTTTATTGCTACAGGTTGGGAAAAAGGAAACGCTACAAAGGCCCATGCAAGGTATGACAACAAAGACTGGGAAATATCGTTTCGTACCAGAGAACTTGATCAAGTCTGCTGGTACCACTAACAAGGTACCCCTTTCGAATGATAGTGTTCAGCTTCGAATAACATCCAAGGTGCAAATGTGAAATACCAGCTGTTGCGCGTGCGTCAGAGCCAGCGCTTCTCGCTCCAACTAGACGAGTCCACCTACACAGGGTGGCCAAAAGTTTTTGATTCGAATTTTAAATACAATATTTCGAAAACTATGAAAGCTAGAAAGTCGAAAAGGGGGCCAAATTAAAGGTCAATTCAAGCTCTTTCAAATGGTATGAGGTTTCTTAGGCATGGGTGCCATTGCATGGCCACCACGGCCGTTTGAAAAAACCATACGCAAAAAATTTGTTAACTGAGGAAAAAAGTAATCTTTCTACAGGAGAAATGGAGCTAACATTTTAATTTTCAATGAAATGTTCGATGTGGCCACCTTCTTGATCCACTACAGCATCCAATCGGTTCCGCCATTTTTAAATGGCTTTTGTGATCCAGGCCTGCGGAAGGTCATCCCACGCAGCACAAATCCGCTCCTTCAAGTGCTCAACGTTGTGGATTTTCCCATATCGATAGACTTTGTGCTCCAAGGCTGACCAGATGAAGTAGGCGATGGGGTTCAAATCCGGGCTACAAGGTGGCCAATTTTCAGGCTCCATGAATTCGGGGCAGTTCGTTTTGAGGAAGGCCAAGGTTTCCTTGGCTGTGTGGGTTGGGGCTCCATCTTGCTGGAAGACAAACTCTTGGCTTTTCTCCTTGATTTCGGCCAACATTGGGGTCAAAACGTCTTCGCAGTAGCTTTTGGCGTTGATTTTAACCCCACGGGCAATGAAGAAAATCGACGTTTTCTCTGACGAGGAGGCCGCAAGTGAAACAATGACTGATTCAGAGAAGTGTTTGCGTTCGTGCAAAACACGGGCTGACGCGATATCACGTTTTCTTTGAACAGCAGCATGAACACGATCATTTTGTGTATTGCGTGGGGTTTCAACAGTGAACCGCTTCTCGTCTGAGAACCAGATATTTTTCATAGCTTTGTGGCTGCGAAACCTGTTCAACAGTCTTTCGCACAGAACCAGACGTTTCTTCTTGACTGCTATGGACAGCTCATGGACAGGAACTCGCTTGAAAACTTTCAGGTTGAGGTCGTGTTTGATTATCTGTTGAACAGATTAACGTGGAATCCCCGTTGTTTTCGACATTTCTCGCTCACTTCTGCTTGTGCCAGGATTCCCTTCTTGGCTCAATATCATTTCACGAACACTTTCGATGTTTTCTGTTGTTCGTGCAGTATTTGGACGACCTGTTACCGGACGACGAGCTTCACTTCCAGTTTCAATGAGTTTTTTCAAAAAGTAAATAACAGTTGATTTCTTTAAAATTTCATATTGGAAATTCTTTAAGAATCTGGTTCAACGAAAGTCCCTTTTCCTCGCGAGGTGCACGAATGATGTTTTTGTCACTTTCCGATAATCCGCGATTGACGCTTATTTTTAGCCCCTGGAGTATGAGATAATAAAAAAATGCAACCTGACGAAAAAAATTCATGAGCACAATACCGTAGGCAAAGGCACCGGAAAAATCCACATCTGTGGTAGACCAACAGATCAACACAGGTGGTTTGAACATCAAGCACGTCTCCGGACGCAGGTTATTCCTTGTTACACTCACTTGTCAAACCAGTTTTGGTGCGAGAATGACAAATGGATAACCCCGGGAAATGAAGAGATGCTTAATGAGCATCAAGAAAAGTAACCACCCGCCAATCGTGTTTTCCCGCCTTCCCACAGATACCCGCAAGCAGCAGCAGCGTCGAAGTTGCGCTTTTGCAACATTTATTTGGCGTATTGTTTTTTCAAACGGCCGTGGCGGCCATGCAATGGCACCCATGACTGGGAAATCTCAAACCATTTGAAAGAGCTTGAATTGACCTTTATTTTGGCACCCTTTTCGACTTTCTAGCATTCATAGTGTTCGAACTATTGTAATTTAATAATCGGGCTAAAAACTTTTAGGCCACCCTATATAGTGGGCGATGTAAACCTTCTGGCTCATGTAAAGTGTGAGGGTCGATTGCATGAACGATTTTTTTTTTCAGACATTGATTATCGATAGTCATTGTTTAAACATTGTCTACGAAAACATCGGTGAACCGCTCTCTACTTTCGATTGTGTGAACGATCCCTAAGCCATGTTTTCATAGCCGATGGTTAGACGATGGCTAAACACTCCTCATAGTACATATAGCACGTTCTGACTTCTCGGTTGTCGAGTAATATCCTTCGGACTCCACAAAAAACGAGCGAATCAAGTGAAAAAGGAGAGCCTTTCCTCAGACTATTAAGTACATCTCGCAGAGCTTGTAAAGGAGAATCTCACGATAGTGAGAGACAGAATGCACTTTCCTTGCACAACAAGTAATCATGCCTGGAAACTGGTGAGTTCTCCTCTGACATTACTCTGTATTTCGATATATCAGAGGTAAAGCCAAGGATTCGTTTTGGACACACGGAGAAGTAGGAAATGTGAAAAAAAGGAGTGTCATTTGTGTACGATTGCAAAATGAGGGTATTCGAGAATTACGTCTGGATCCTGGTCACGTGATGACAAATTCAGCAATAATCCCTTCCGCATCGCGCACTGCTTGGACATCGATGAAATAGAAGCATTTGCGACCGATTAAAGTTGTATGGGCATTCTATTCGAGTACGACAGTCGTCGATGACACCGATCACTCCTGGAAATCCGACAATATCAAATACTTATCTTCGTATAACTACTCCGTTTTTCCTCCTAGAAATGTAATGAGTGATGCAAATGGGCAATGGGCTTGCGCCATTCCATTTCTAGGAATCGACGCCACATAAAATCGAAGGGTCAGCACAGCATACAAATCGAAAGGCTTTCATGATACTCTTTACTTTCTAGTCATATTAATTAATTACTCAGGGGATGGGTACTTGAACAAATCATGATTCATTGCACACGAACAGTGGTTGCTCTTATCGATTGCCTTTCTGATCGGTTGCCTTTCGAGTTCAGCGCGAAGCAGGTCGACATTATACCCTGATCCCTTTCCAAATTGGTATCTCACGCGGAAGTTCTAATCGACATATTCTTCAAAGGGCTTAAGCCCAGAACCTATGATTATTCCTCCCATGCGACGACGAGAGCACATGACCGTTATCGAGCGGATCCATGAACATAATCAATTGTGCTTCACCAGTACAATGCAGCACTATACTCATTGAGATGTTACACGAACGCTGGCATAAATATCGACAAAACATGCCCCATCCCTTGTCTGAAAACGACACCTTTTTCAACTTCTGTCAGACATCGGTTAGACAATGGTTAAGGGAAGATAGCGTTCATGCAATCCATTTTTGACCTTAGACATCGGTTAACCGATGACTTTCGAAAAACACCGGGGAAACATCGTTCATGCAATCGGCCCTGAATATTCAGGGGAAGAATGACGACGAAATTTTGTTCGCCGATCTCTACCTACCGGCAAGATAGGAGAAGCCATTTACAAGATACTGAACGATTTCATTATGAATGATGACGTGGATTGGATACGATGTGTCGGTATTAGTAGTGACGGTGCTTCTGCAATGATTGGCAGTATGGAGGGTCAATCTGCACGTGTCCACCAGTTGCACCGTTGGCGACAGCAAGGCACTGTAGCATTCATCGTCAACAACTCGCTGCGAAGAAGATACCCGACGCTTTATAACAGTTCTTGATGAGGCAATAACAATTATAAACTTCATCAAAGGACGCCCTCTGAACGCGCATTTTTAAAGCCCTGTGTGAAGAGATGTGGAGTGAACACACGAAACTTCTTTTCGCTGGTTCTCCTGGAGTAAAATTCTCATCCGCCTCTTTGAACTGCGCGAGCTCAAAATCTACCTGCACGATAATGACAGTCAAGTCTTTGACCTCTCGGACCGCATTGCATGATTGTGATCGATGTCAAGCTTCCATTGAAAGAGGTGGACAATCTCGTGGAGCATGCATCGGACTGGTCGCTGAACCAGGTGTTCGGCGAGAAAGGTTTGACAGACTTTTGGCTCCACATACGATCGTGGACTCGCCGACGCAGCTCTGAAGCACCTGCTCCCGTTCCCAACGACTTACAACTGCGAGATGGAATTTCAACACTTGTAGGGCTAAAACCGAAGAAGTGGTACCGGCTGAACGTGCAGCCTGACATGAGACTGGAGCTCTCAAGCTTGGAACCAGACGTCGACTCATTGGTGACTCATCAAAAGCAGCGATATGCTTCCCATTAATGTTGATGAAGTTTTTTTTGCATTGCCAAACGGAAGCGAGTGGGATAGGTGGTCCGCGCGGTCTTCTGCCCCACTGAAAGGATTTAAAAAGTTTCAGAACCACTCACTTGGGGATCCAGGAAACCGGATCCGGAAACATAGTGGCAGTCCCTTAGGTAGGGACTGATTCGAACTTCTCACTGACTCCTTCTCACGGTATTGGGCTAACCCATCAAAGGTACTTAATTTTGCACTTGATGCAAATTCCTACTCTCAGTTTCACATGATATAGCTGGATAAAAAGGAAATTATGCTCCACATATGTTCGCATCCATTGCTACTCTTCCACAGTAGTTTTTAATTTGCAGGTGAGCCGCTGTATAAGTATCCAGAATGCCGGTTGACGAAGAAGGGAAGAGAATACATCGGTAAGGTGAATAAGACGGAATCAGGAAAGGAGTGCCTGAGATGGGACACTCAACCCTATGGTACACCCGATGATTTTCTCAAAAACGTCACGTATTCCAAGCACTTTTCCAACATTGATACATGGTCTCACCACAACTACTGCCGCAACCCATCCGGAAAGGAGAGGCCATGGTGCTTCGTCAAGGACGATGAAGTCCAATGGGAACATTGTGATATCCCAATGTGCACGGATCAGGGTAATTCTTACATTTTAGACTCCAGCACAGTAGAAGGACAGATCTGACATCTGCAAGGAAAACTTGGAGTTTTCTAACCAAATCGGGGAAACTTTTTTTTCCCAGAATAGTAACTGGTGACGAAACTTGGGTTCATCACTGGGATCCCGAAACCAAGCAGGAATCCATGCCAGGGCAGGAGTTCATATTTTCTACTCGTAACAAGCATGAATAGGGTACAATGTAGGCCAATTAAATGCATCCAATTAAATGCATTCGAACTCATATTTATTATTTTCAAAGCGAAATTATAGTCGACACCCTGAACCTACACACGAACCTGGTTCTCACGCAAACAAAGTTTTTTTGGTCATCTTTAAATACTTAAAATAAATTCAACGGATAAAACGACGGACCATTTCTTCGGAGGCGGTGCGTATCTCGTGTTCATTTGTTCCGCCAGCGTACCCAGAGTGCAAGAAGACGGAGAAGGGAAAGGAATACAGTGGCAAAATGAACAAGACGGAGACTGGAAAGGACTGCCTTCGTTGGGATCAAAAGCCGTATAGGAACCCCAATGATTTTTCACCCCTAATTCTCTACGAGGAGCATTTCCTCAACGAGGACGTGGAAGCATCAGAAAACTATTGCAGGAATCCAGCATTGAGGGAAAGGCCTTGGTGTTTCATCTCGGACCCCAACGTCATTTGGGAATTCTGCGACATTCCCTAATGCGAGGACAAAAGTAAATAATGGTTTTAAATGAAGAATCGTTTCCTTTGGCTTTTATCTACGTATCCTTTTATGCTACTTCATAGAGATCCCTTCGTATGATAGCTTTAATCGGATAATAGGTATACCCAACATCAAGAAACTATAGCCCGAGTAGTGCATTCGCTTGTCAGGAATATAATGCAGAAAGGAAAAAAAGAAAGGTCTTTCTCGCTTCACAGAAATTTCTGTGCTCTAGCCTGGGATTTTGAGCGAACCAGCACCGCACATTGACTTCGGATCGCTCTGAATTTTGGCAACAATTTACTTGGCATGCTGCCTGCGTCATCTTGAAATTTGCAGTCGGGAGAATTCCTCACATAGGGACTCTTCCCGGTAGAGTATTAACTCCCATGACGAATTTCACATTTGCAATGATATGGGTGCGTGGTCTCTAGTTCCACTGGAGTGCAAACTGACGCAAAAGGGCGGAGAATACACGGGGAAGGAGAGCAGCACCTTAGTGGGAACTAAATGCCTGCCTTGGCTGAGTGCGCCTCTGACACTTCAATATCGGGCGTGGATCGACAGAATCGCTACGTTCTCGGACGAGGTGGATAAGAAGCATAATTATTGTAGAAATCCTGGGGGTCGCCCAGGGGGTCCTTGGTGCTACGATGGAAGCCATGGAAAAGAAGACGTTAAATTTCACGAAAAACAGGATCACAAAGATGGATGGAAATACTGCGACGTCCCCTTTTGGCCATTTGCAGAGGAAAGAAGCAGGTTCATGGGTATTGGATAAAACAGGAGGATCAAAGGGATGAAATGTACACCTTGAATTCCGCTTAGAATTGCTTCTGGACAGGTCTAGGTTGCCACCAATGATATTGAAGGGCGCGACATGCCCTCATTTTTTCCGGAGGGTTATACTTTATCTTAGAACTCACGAGGAACATGACATGCATTTATCGTCACGAACACTTGGTATTCTCATGTAGGCTCGCTCTAAATAGTATCAGATTTAGACGGGCCTAATAACTGAGCAATAATGATACATTAATACCTCTTCGTGGACATGAGGCCTGCTCGTGGATGCATGGGTAAATCGTGAGGCACGAAGTTCAGATCACCAACCAGCGGGTAACAAGACTGCATAAATGGGTGAACTCGGGCGATGTCCGAAGGAGTGATCGATTTTAACGTATGTCTGCATATCTTCATAAAAATTTTGAACAAGGGCAGCATGGGAGCAATTTTGAACTTCGTGTTCCGACTGCAGCAGCGGAAGTGTAACAATGAACCAATGTAACTATGTAACAATGAACCAATTCAATGAACCATTTTCTTTTCCGCCGACAGTTGTACGGAGTCTCATACCAATTAGAAATTTTTTTTGAGACTCTGCAAGGAATGGAACAGAGCTGACTTTTAGAAGTGAAAGTCAACATGGATTGATATCTCCTTTGCAGATGAGAATCAGGAGACAAATGTTACTTTCCCTAATTGTCGACTCACGGAAATGGGCAAGGAATACATGGGCATGGTCAGGAAGCGCAAAACAGGGAAGCCATGCATGAATTGGAATGATTTCTCCGATATGACGAAATACCCAGAGGTAATGAGCAAGATCCTCCCGCTGTCGGTAGATTCCAAGGAAATGAAGTCATTCCAGGAATTCTTCATCAATCGGGACCCCCGGAGCTACGTGAATTTCTGTCGAAATCCTGGATGGGGACAGAGACCATGGTGTTTTGTGTCAAAGGATCCAGCTATCAAATGGGAATACTGTGACATACCCTTCTGCAAAAATAGGGGTAGGTTTCTCGAATGAAAAGCCCCGTCACTCATTGTCTTGTCCTATCGTTATCAGTTCCAGGTGTTCACTATCAAATCGTAATATCTTATCGGTTGATGAACAATTTATTCCATGAACACAGAGAAATTCAGATATGAAATGAAACCGCAATTGCTCGAATTTTGCGAAAATCCATTTGTAAACCTCTTTGAACTTCACGATTCATGAAACCTAAGCTAGCCGTAGCGAGTATATACGGTAGTATATACAATATAAATGCTTTGCAATGATCCCACCAGCTCCGTTCGAGTGCAAGTTGACGAGGAGAGGCTGGGATTACATGGGGAAGAAGAACGTGTCCTTCTTGGGGTTGCCCTGAGAACCGTGGCTCAAATATTTGACGCTCGATTCCATGACAGAGAAGGACATCCATTTGTTCCCGGATCCCGTGGACAGCAGGCGCAACTTCTGTCGTAGTCTGTATGATGGCTGGGACACATACTGTATTGTTTTCCAGAATGGCAGACTCATGACCGACTCCTGTTCCATTCCTTTCTGTTACGAGATTCTGGAATCCATCGGCACGAGTGAGTCGACACTTCATTTTTCTCACTTTCGCTCCAAAGAGATCAGCCACTGAAGAGATCATAATTTGTTTGCTATTATTTACCCCGTAGTCACTTCCTACTCCCTGCATTGCTATCCCTTCAGCCTAGAACGAACATGCTGTAAAGCTTCCCTGCCTGCATTTGATGGATATTAACTTTAAATATAGTTTCTCCACCTCTTGATTCGATTCGCAGTGACAGGCCACCAGAATTGGCGAGATTCGCACGATTGAAAAAAGACATAAACTCAATCATACACTCAGATCAAACCTATTGCATCCCAGGTCGCACAATTCACGATAATTTACACCTCCTGCGTGACACAATCTCGCATGCAAATTCTCACAATCTTCCTCTTGCTCTTATTTCCCTGGACCAAGAAAAAGCTGTTGATCGTGTTAACCACCAATACCTATTTTTCACTTTAGAGAAATTCGGTTTCTCCCCTCATTTTATCAGGACTTTAAAAATAATTTATCATGAAAACCAATGTTTAGTTCGGATTGGAAAGCACTTGTCAGCTCCCTTTCCTTTTGGGCGAGGAATTCGCCAAGGCGACCCTTTGTCAGG